TAAACATCACAAACGACCGAAAAAGAACGACCTAACTTTACCGACAGATCGAAACAGACCAATCACGACCGACTTACGTCACTTGAGTCTTACAGCCAATAACATCACGGCAAAACCAACCGATCATTTTACACGAACTGGAATAAGAACTTTCTACTGACAACAATCATTTACTTGACTCTGATGATGACTTCCGCACAGGTTGTCGAAACGTCAGTCACTACCACCAACAACAGTCCTTCTCAGGACTACACTCACCCGGACGATCAGACTACACCTTCACATGTTACCCCCGGTTCAAGCCATTTACTGCATAGATAAATGGATAAATAAAATTGAATGAAAATGAACGGTCTCAAATTTGTTAGGTTATTTACCAACGGCAAGCAGTAATTTACTACAACACATATTTTGATCCCTTGACTACGGAGATAAAACCCTTGCGACAAAATAAATTATGTTTACAGTGTGTGTGACGCTTGCGACAAACGAGATCGAAGTCGAAGGGTGTCGCTAAAGCGTGTTAATGCTACGGGACTATCTTACAGGTCGTGTGCTTCAAGTACCAATAACCACGGAAAACCAAGGTTGACCGTTAACGGTGATTTAATGATGATGAACGATTAACGAACCACGATAGACAATCACGATCACGATCGTAAACTGAAATAACAATGCAATTTACTTAAAACGTTGCGTAACTCATGAACAAAACGCTTAGAGCAATTAACCTGCCTCCGTCGATAACGCGATCAAAATTAACAACAATCAACAGGAATACTCGAAAATCATAATAAGCTACATCAAAATAACTCGAGATTTAAATCTATTGTAAGATTAACAAAATGGGCGTTCCTAGCTTAGCGTCTCATTCTTTGATTCGCCCCCTTTAGATTGAAAACAATAAATTGTACTATTGTACGACTCTGTACGTTAGCGTGCCTCCACCCTAAACAAGAAAACTAATCAAAGTAGGAAACTAGCAAAATTACACACATATCGGTCCCGCTTGTGCCAAAGATTAAGAACCAAAAACGGCGAGTCGAACAGATAGAATTGACAAGGCGAAATACAATCATACACTCGCTAAAGGGAAGCTAAACGAGACATTTATACGCGGGTGGAGATGCTAAAATATCTGATTACAAACCAATCGAGAATAGATAACAACAGAACCACATCCGTAACTAAAGTAATTCGTAACAAACAAATCAAATTCCACTTAGGCTGAATGAATCGTTTGAGTATCCTTAACAATCCCTGTCTGAGAAAGTGTTCCAGGAGCCAAAAGTGGTGGTCAACCGATTTGGCTGAAACTTGGCACAAAAGTTGAGTGTGATAAGATATTTCAAACGTCATTTTTGCTCACTTCTTCGACTGTTTGTTCTGCAGTTTCGGGGGTCCCATTTGTGGTCCCGTTAACAGAGGATCTATAGTTAAACTTTTGATGGCCTTGTTAGCTCATGTAAATACGCATGATGCCATTAGTGAAAGAGCAGGATGATACATACAGGTTGTAGTAAGTAGCGTCCATGTGACTTGTAATCCATCCGCTTTTTCTAGTACGTTAGAGCTGAATAAATCAAATCATCCGGCAGTAAATAAGGAATCCACCGTTAGGAGAGCTGGATGACAAATATTTTGTGTTTCAGTTCATATGAAACACGCCATGCCACACCTCGAGATGCGATTGTTATCGTCTCAACTGACCCACCATATTGGAGGTGAGAGTGAGAGGACTGGACCAAGTCGAGACGATCACTTGCCGCAATCACAGGAATTTTCTTACTGTAGAAAAGGTTCATAATACGATGCTTTACGATTAGCACCACCTACAATTTCAACGTCGAAAAAACTCGCACAATGACTGTAGTTGACTGAGTTTTCGCTTTTGCAACACCTTAGCTAATCTTCCCTTTGCAGAGAGTTCGCGAAAGTTGAAATCTTCATACAAAAGAAAATTGGAAAACAATCAAACGATTTTAAAACATGTGTCCTAAACCATTTTCAAAGGAGAAATCTAAGGAATTTTTTTTCTTTCGACCGGAAGTTGAGAGGACCGCTCTAAGCGAGAGTGGCACCAAAAAAAAGCCATTTGCTGCACTTATGCGCGTGTAAGAGCCCTTTCGTATATTTTTAATTAACCGTACTTCCAGCTTTGGTATCACCCGATCTTCCTCTCGCCCCAGACTCACCTGAACCCTTGTACTTGTGTTTTAATCAAGTACTCATGTTATTATCGCAAGACAACAAAGGAGTCATTCCTGTTTCGCGCAGAGCCCATGACGCGGCACCGCATTAATCATTTACTCCTTCAAAGGAACAAAGCGCCGTCGTAAAATTATACTAAAACTTCTCATCGCTATACTTTTAATACTTGATAAGAACACAAACATTTACGCCTGAATATGGGAAGGAATGGAAACTCGGTCCAGTCCTGATACTCTCACGTCCAAAATGGCGGGCCCTATTGGCATCATCTCATGTCTCGTGTGGAATATTCCATTTAAACAGCAACAATAATTTTCTGTCATCTAGCTTTTCTGACTGTGGATTCCCTCTTTTTTGGATGGTTCCACTTATTCAGTTCTAAAGTACCTAAGATCTCTGGTGGATCACAAGTCACCTGGACGGTGCTCACTGTGGCACGTAAGGTTATGGTCATGCTCGATAAGGGATGGGTATTTGCGAGAGCTGTTCAGTCTATAGCTATTCAGAGGTCAGGCGTAGATCATCTTTTCACGATCCTTTTATTCTGAGCTTAATGGTTAAGGCCCGCCGGGTTAAGGTCACTTTATTTTCAATTAAAAAACGGCCTGACAAAATAGGGAGACTGCGTGCTTGGAGTATAATAGGTGCTGATATATGGCCTAACAAACTTAGATCACAGAAAATTCAATCATATTTAAAAAATATTGCCATATCTAGATCAGAACATCATCATCTGTGCTCTGTGATTGGTAAAAGGTTTTCATCGGAAAAAAATTATCTTTACTTTGCTAAACCTTTTGGGTGCTTGCAGTACTAATCAGAAGCCTTATAAGAGTAGTTAGAAGCTATGAGTCTAGGTATTTCTAGATAATGAAATTGATTTGACTTTAATGTTTCATTTTCACCCACCAGATAAAAAATAAAGGCTCTATGTCAAGACTTTCGTCTGTTTGGAGCGTGAATTATGCTCAAAATTCCATTTTGCTTGGCCTTAGAGAGGCATGGAGAGTTTGTGCCAAAAACGTAACAAACCTTAATAAGCCAAATTTTTCTCAATTGATTTTGATAAATGGGTCACTAAAATACATACTGGATTTGGTATGAAAGTTATGCAAAAAGGCAGGTGAATATTATGGTTTTTTGAAAAATGACAATTTTGGATAGTGATTTTGACCTCAAATTTGACGTAACTTTAGCCCCAGGCCCCTCTCTGTCTAATCGCTTGAGAACAAAGTTACATTTATGAAGTAAAAGCTCCACTATAGAAAGGTCCATGGTCAAATTCGTTTGGCAGCAAAATTTACCAATTGAGTTTTATAGCACTTTCAAACTGCCACCTAGAAGGATGAATGTTTGGTGCTCCACAGGCCACAAATGGGACCCCCCCACCCCCTCTTAAAACTGCAGAACAAACAGTCTGAGAAGTGAGCCAAATTGGTTTTGAAATATCTTAGCACACTCAACTTTTGTGCCAAGTTTCAGAAAAATCGGTTGACCACCACTTTTGGCTTCTAGAACACTTTCTTAGACAGGGACACTTAAAGACAGGCAAAGAAGTTGTAAATTATATAATGTCGCTCTGAAATAGACTACAATCAAAAATTGATTGTGATCGGTTAATTTAAACTACTGTCCGAAAGCATATCGTCCGATAACAAACTGTCCGATAACAAACCCTCCGATAACAAACTTTTCGATAAGAGCTTGGCAAGTGAACTGGTGGAAAATGGGATTTTTTTAAAAAAAATCACAATCAAGGAATACTAGTTTTTATGATTAGCGGTAAAATGCCAGAGAATTTTGGCATCAATTTGGGTATAAAGACCCTCGAATGTTGGTAAGCAACAACTTATTCTGTGATCACGTTACGTACATTTGATTCAAAGACAAATGCGTATTGCTGGTACATATATCTTATTAGACGTTTTGTTGCGTATTATCTCTGAGTATTTCTATGAGTTGTGCCGATACTACACAGCAAAACGTCTAATAAGAGATTTATTATCCGACACGTCAAATTGTTATTTCAGTGCGGTTGAACTTCGCGGATATTTCTGGAGTACAAATATCGCATGATATTTGTACTCGTCTCGCGCGTAATCTGTACTCCACGAAGCTCAGTCGGATAATAAATAGATCTTATTAGACGTTTTGTTGTGTAGTATCGCTGAGTATTTTTACGAGTTGTGCCGTATTTTGAAGAGCCCGTAGGGCGAGTCAAAATACAAATAACGAGTAAAAATACTCAGCGATACTACACAACAAAACGTCTAATAAGTTATTTATTATCCAACACGCCAAACTGTTATTTCAGTGCGGGCGAATTTCGCGGATATTTATTTACGCGTTGTTGTGTTGCTGTTTCTATTTTCTTCATTAAATGAAGAAATTTTCTGGTCGTCAAGCTGTTTTTCTTCGTTCGATTCATCTAATGAACTTGGATCTATACTTGCCAGCCATTCTGACTCTTCGTCGTCGGAAATATGATTAAAATGGTCCACCATTTGTTTTTTTTTCTCGTAACTATAATCCAATTCTTCGCTTGCGCGATACGAGAAAACGTGTTTAACCGGTACTCTACAGTAGACGAGTACAAATACCGCGTGATATTTGTACTCGTCTATGGTGTTATTTGTACTCGTCTAGGTGTAGTTGGATAATAATTACCTTTATTTATGGTTATTTTAATTGCCAGGTGCACGTTCCCAAATCGAGGATATTCTTTTAGCTGTGATCTTACAATACTTGGACAATTTCTTGATGTACCAGTGATTCAGTTGACTACTTCGATATGAAAATGCACTAGTGAATAGGAAAGGAATAAAGAATAGATAATCTTAGGCTGGTTTGGTGTCTATCGCGTGCACATGTTTCAACCAAGGAATCGAGATTCAGTTCGTGCTTGAAAAGAAATGTTTATCATGATTATGTGGAGCTTGTTATCTTCTGATCGCTTAATTTTGGAATTATATCTGGAACACTGCGCTTTCACAGTTTAAAGTGTAGAATCTACGACAAATTGGCGACCAAGTACCGATTTCCCTGATGGTCTATGTTCTATTTCTTCGAAAACTGTCTAACTCTCAACTGATGAACTATATTATTATTTCATCCGTGATTTTTTTTGTAGATCTACGACTTCCACCAGGCCTATGGGAATGAATTTCACACCAGATATGCTTGTGACATCGCTTTGAAACCAACAGGAGGTCAAAATCCGAGTAGTTTTTCATGTCGCCTAAGCTTCCATCAAGAAGGCCGAGGGCCCGCACACACAATCTATCTGCATCTACAAGTAAGATGCGTTACAGTAGCTGATCTAACCTTTAGCCAACGAGGTACAAACTAGTAGTCTATAAGAACACAATCAAAAGGGCTCCGTCCCAGTCAAAGCGTATGAACTTGCTATGCAAACAAATCTCTCCGCTGGTTTCAAGTCTACTAGGCGCTGGGAGCCCATATCCAAGCATAGATCACGTAAAATTATTTGTTTACAAGCTTCTACCTCTGTAATCGAAGTTTTCCACCCCTTCTTTGCAATAATTATTGGTAATACAGCGGAAGTAATGAAAAAATGTTTTGTTTTTTTTTTTTTTGATATTTTAAAGGAAAACTGACTTTTAATTTAGAAATTTGCTTTTTCTATGGTTCGTGTAAGAGTTTCTTTGTTCTTTTCTGAACGGTTTTACTTCAGCCCCTTTGTACTCACCGTCTGATCAACGTTATGCCAGCCAAGTAGCCTCTAAGCAGCCTGTTGCAGACTGGCTCCTCAAACTACCTAAGAATGATCTGTGATTGTCTGGTCGCACCTAAGAGAAGGGTCGCTGACTACAGCACGTTTTGAAAAGCACACCAATGGTCCATCTTATGCTCTTCTTGATTACTTAGAGAGGATGTCGCTCAATTGTTGAAGGAATATGACAGGCTCAAAGAACAAGCATAGACGGCTAACTTTCTCCCTTTTTTAATTGGCGGCTTGTTAATCGATAATGTAAGTTCTATGTAATTTTATAGAAACTGTTTAGAAGGGGGATAATTTTAGAAATTAAAAGCAGATGTTTAACTTCCCTTAAACAGTCATTCTGCAGTCCCCGGTTGTTAGAAGGGTGGATAACACAATCCGCTGAATAAATCTCTACACGGTGGATGGTGCAGTAGGTTTTTTTAATTGTAATTTACTGGATAGCGATTTCTCACTTAGATAGCTTTATACGTTCTCTGAACAATTAAGCCCTGATGTGGTGCAATTGCCATGCAGAACTCAGGGGAGCAAATACATAGATACACCTTAGCAAAGTAAAAGTAAGTTAAATTTCTGGTCGTCTGTAGAACGTCTCCTTAGTTGCATTGCACTCTATTTCGTGGGATGTTACGTCTAACGTCCATGTCGATCGGGAGCCTCTCATTTACACCAGTTTTGACCAAAATGTTACCATTGTGTTATGTATTGTTATTGTAACTGCATAACTTTCGTAACTTACGTATGTAATCGCTCAGGATATTCCAGATTTTTATTTTAGCCTGATAACATTTGTAGCGCCCAAAAAGATAACGAAAGGAGTAATTTAAATTAAGCAGCTTAGTCAGTAACTTTTGAAAATTCCTATTTGTATGTAGCAGTGATCAAAGATTCAAATTTCTGTGGAGCCCTGACCAAGACAACCGTACGCGTATTACATAGAGAATTTAGTTTCATAGTAGGTCGATTGCTTGGTCGTGACTTTTTTCATAAATTAAGCAAGTGTCCTAAGAGGAAACAAAATTTCATGCGAAACAGGAACTATCTGTATACAACTTGGTATAGTTCATGATTAGGAAACAGAAAAAGAAGAATTAGATTGCTGGTTAAAGTGAAAGCCTTTCCTGTAATTGTTTTTACTAACCTAATTAGTCCATGATCGATGGTAATCCTTTGTGTTTTTTTAATGCAATCATCAAAATGCTTCTTAGTTCTAAAAGTTAACTTTGAGCACTGGGCACAAAACAGTGTATATCTTTGCTTTTCCATTTGAGTGTCGAAAGCAATTTGTGATTGTTCCTGAAAACTCGTTATCCTCTCGACCAATCGCGTTTTGCTTACTCGCGTTTTCGCTTGCCTTAATGATAAGCAGTTTGCTTTATCAGCATTATTATTATTATTATTATTATTATTATTATTATTAATTGTTATCATTGCTATTATTTTTTTTAAGCTCTCCTTGTTGGCTAATTCTTAGTCGGTGTGATTCTTTTGGGTGTTGCTTTTCGACACTCAATCGAATTGTGCTCGGAGAACCATAGTTTGAGGTTAACTACGTTATTAAAACTTAAGAGTTTCGCCTTTATTTTTTATTACTAACATACAAATGTACTGGTAGATCGAAAAAGTAGTCAAGGTAACAAAGTGTGTTGAACATTTTACTAGTGTGTCAGCTTCTTTCTTCTAAGCCAAACTTTTGAATTGTGAACAAATTCATTACACAATATTAATGGAGTTTATCTAATTTTCCTTCTTTCTGCATTTTCAATCTTTTGCACATTTTACTCGCTCCTCGTTCTTCAACTGAAATAGGCAATTATTCTACAACAAAGGAAACCTTACCCCTAAACAACCTGTGAATATTTATAGCATGTAAGTGAAACAAATATTGACCCCCCCCTCCCACCCCACCACACCACACACCGTGAGTATGAACAAAACATTTTTTAAAAAATATGTTTGTTTTACGTGCTGTCTGAAGCAAATTAAAAGTCCAGATAAAAGAATGGAAATCAGAGCCACCAGTTATGAAGGAGATCTTAACCCGCAGGCACCCGAGGTGAGGCAAAACTCCTACACTCCCAGATCTTATCACTAATTCTATTTATTGTCTGCCATATAATAGTTATGATGCCAGTTTAAAGAAATTGGTTTTGTATCAAATAATAATCCACTTCTCGATTTATATTTCTTATTCTCACCACTTGTCTGCTTGATACAATAACTGTAATTGAGCAAAAATAGTTTAATAACAGTTTACTTTATGAAACTACGCAGGTAGAGCATTGAACACCCAGGAGCTGCTGACTAAATAATTGCTATCATTGACGAAAGATTTGAAAGCATCTGTAATGCAGAGGGGAAATAGATGTGATAGAACTAGTACATTATTTTGTTTGGGTTGATCGAAATTGTTGACTCTGATTTGGCAAAGCAATTTTCAAACATGGTTTCCTTAATAATAGGAATTCCCTTTTTTGTAGTCTGCTGGAGACAAATGACTTTTCAGGTTTGTGGCTTGAAGTTGAGATGACGAGCCTATAAACATGTACAAACAGACGGCCCTTTCCCTGCTTCAGGGGTTGGGAAAGATGAAGACTAGATTATGTGAAGGGATTAAGAAAATCATTCCTTTAGCAGCTAATAAAAGATATTTTTCAAACTGTTTTGCATGCATGTGGGTTCAACATTTGAAAAAGTCAACACTTCATTATAAAAACAAACAGACCAAAGAAACATTTTACGTATGATTCTTCAAAAAAAATCTTAAATTCACAGCTTCTTGAGCAGTAGTGAAAATAAGGCCTGAAAAAAATTCAGGAAAAAAAAAATCTTAAACTCACACTTCTTGAGCAGTAGTGAAAATAAGGCCTGAAAAAAATTCAGGCCTGTACGGGATTTGAACCCATGACCTCCACGATACCGGTGCAATGCTTCACTAACTGAGCTCACAAGCAAACTGGGAGGTGGTCGTTGTGTTGGTTCATAATAAACTCTCTTACAGGAAGATGTCCACGTAAGTAATGATGTTAACAACCTTATTGATTTTAGTACGATGACACAGAAAACTCTCTTAATAAACAATATCGAATACTCTCGAGAAGTAATTGCATTATCTTTATGATTTAAAAAATCACGTAGAATAACCCAAGAAATGCCAGTGACATGGACTAAGTAGCAAATTTTTAGGGTTGGAAAAGGGGGAGAGCTAAAGACGGATGCGTAGGCTTCAGCCAACAAGGCAGGCAGGGAGATGGAAGGATGCTTAGCAGGACACGTTTTTTCAACAAAGGGGTAGGGCGGGCTAGCTAAAGCCCCACCCTCCAGCCCTTCCCTTTGCACGTTCCCTGAATTAGCGTAAAAAAATTGTAAGGAGGTATAATCATAATGTAAATCATGATCATGTGGTAGATAATAAAACCTATGGAATCGAAAAACAAGAAATCATTAGGGAGCTCTAAAGAGTCTTTGAGCCGAAGTCAACTTATGAGACAGCTATTGTCATATATACAAGTGGAATAGGTTTTAACTTGTATTGAAGGTCTTCAAAAAGGCATTATAACATGGAAACTGAGAGTTGTCTTTTACTTAAACTTGAAAATAGGATTGATGACATTGTGACTAAGCCAATAGCGCGTGCGAGCCCCTTTTGCTACTTTTCTCTTTAAATCTCATCAATTTTTTTACGAGAGTTTTTAGAAGAATCAACGAGTGCATGTTGTAGCAAATAGAGTACGGCAGGTTTTGACACTAACTTCCTGTGAGCAGGGAAAAACCCGTTTTCAAGATGCATGCGCGCTACCCCTCTCTGGCTAGGCGCGTCATTCGTGTTACGAGCACCCTCATATCGCGCTTGCCTCGCGCTTGCCTCGTACCTGCCCCGCCCTGCCCTGCCCTGCCCTGGCCTGCTCTTTCTTCTTTCTTCCCTCTGTTAGGTATATAAAATCTTTACCTACACTCCTTTACTAGATATAAGGGATGAGGAACGTAACGGCGAGATCACATGCTCAGCCATACATCCATAAAATACGTATAATAGCTTTACTTAGGGCCAACCATAAAGTTACGTAGGTAATACATTTATGTCACACAAGCGTGTGGATTTAATCTATGGACATAGGATACATAGATCTTGTAAGTGCCTTGGAATACAAAAATTCAAATGCTGGACATTAAAATGCCAATGATGAAATATAAAAACGTTACCAAAAGCCTTACGCGCGACCAGTGTTCAAACCACGCACCTGCGATAAAAATACAACAATACCCGTCATTCTATAATAGTGATCATTCTCTTCATATATTTTTGTATCTGGATATCCACTGAGCTTTCGCAAAATCTCTTTCATTGCAAACTGAAAATGGTGTAAGTCAACCCAAAAACTACAACTTAATTTTTCTTTTTTGTGTCTTTCCTTCTTGATTTTGTTTCTTTTTACTTATCTCACTGCTCCGTGGAATCTAATTTAATTTCATTTTACATTTTACTTTTCTTTTTTTCAGAAGGACCATGCAACTACCGGCATTTTGCTTTTCTATTGAATATTAAGACTCGATTAGAAACTCTCATAAGAATAGTTAAAAATGAAACCAGATTTTTCTAATGTTTCTTCCTGTTTGTGATGTTCCTCCAGAAGAATGGCAATGTCACCTCTTTTTGCGTTGTTTCTCAATACACTTCAAAATTCAGCAACGGTTAGCTGTTCAGGAGAGGCTGCCAAGTATTCAGTGAAGGCTCGGGATGGCCCGACATTGTGCTTTTCAAAATATGAAGTCACTGTATAGATGTCAATTTCATAACATGAACAAACAGCGCGATAGTCTCCAACATCCGCCATTTTAGTGTTGAGACGTTTACATACACTCTCTAGATATGACCCACCATCCAGCAAGCTGCTAAGGAGCTCAGAGCCTAAACCAAAGAGAGAATTCAGAGATGATTCAGAGTCGAATTGTTAGCTCTGTAGCTCGGTAATGTAAGTAACAGCTTTTTATTTGAGAAGCTAACTGATACAAGCATTTTGACGGGTTCTTACGTATGATATACTGGAGGACACAGGCGTAGGTGACGTCAGCATTACCATATTTTGCCCTTTTCTCAAATAAAACAAATAGAGTCCTAAATAAAAGTTTAATTTCCGACCACATTCGAAATATTGAAAGAAAT